GTGACTTCCTTCTACATTGTACATCAGTGCACATTAAGAAAAGTTGTGTAAGTCCATATATCACTAACAAAAACTATTATATGGGTAAAACTTAAATTAATGATGCAGGTAGGGTTGCACTCCTGAATGCATGCATGCATGATGAGGATGCTTAAGCTGACCTTTCATTAAACACTTTAGTGCCTTTCTTTTATTTTAAATATAAATGAAACAGGAAAGAGAATAGTGTGCTTCTACCGGGGATCAAACCCTTGATCTCCAGGTGGCTAGTTGGACACTCTATCACTGAGCTAAAGGGAAATTCCCTCTAGCTCGAAGCTAGGAGGCGACCTTAATCCTATGTACAATTGAACCCTGCCACACTACTCCAACCTTTTAAAATGTGTTCGCCCTCGGACACCACAACCCATGTTCTAACTCCCTGTCAGTACAGGAAGAGCCACAGACACCATTTGTAACAAGAAAGAGAAAAGTGTGCTTCCACCTGGGATCGAACTCTCGATCTCCAGGTTCCTAGTCGGACGCTCTACCACTGAGCTAAAGGAAAATTCGCTCTAGCTTGAAGCTAGAAGGCGACCTTAATCCTATGTACAATTGAACCCTGCCACATAAATAAACTTTAACCTTAAAAGGGAATTGCATATCTGGGTAATTGTAAATGCTGCATAAATGTTCAGTGTTGCAAACTAAATATATTTGTCATTATATTAGAGCAATTAAAGGTTATTTATTTGATTTGAATTATTCTGTTAGAAATATATAACCATTCACAATTGTATAATTTACCACAGAATTAAGTCTGTGAATTTACTAAATTTTGACATGGACTTGTCTATGAAGCAGTGGATATTGATGACAGCACGTTTTTGTTGGGTTTGAAAGTATGTATGATTTTGTTTCAATTGAACATTCTTATCAAAAACTCCTGTTTCATTGGTATGGACAAAAACACATAATGGTTTACTCTGATTGACTCTAAAAATAACTTGTTAGGTGGAGGAAGTTGGTTCATATTCTTCTCTTATCTTTGACCTATGGTAATCTTGCCCCAAAAGCCACTTCAAACTCTTCTCCAAACTTAAGCTAAAACGTATATAAGAATAAGACATGCACAGTACAGGTGATAAAGAATTAATTGTAATTGGGCTGGTGGTGGGGTGAGATTGTCATATAGGGGGTAAGATGTATGAATACATTATCTTACCATACAATTCCCTTTGCTTATTTTTTTCACTTTTGTTTTTAAATGTGTGTATTGGAGTGGGGAAGAAAAGCTTTACGCTCTGTCAATATTAGACTCACATTTAGTTTATGCAGAGACCTAAAGTTAATTTAGGTCTCTGGTTTATTTGATTATTTTCTGGACTTGAGCAAGTCTAATTGTTCTTCTTGTGCAGGCCCTTAAAATGTTTCTCGCACTGTCCCAGTCTACATCAATATTGACGGCGTCATTAATATGTTCTTGAACATATATTTAATTTATGCAGTAATGAATATAAGAACCTTAAAAATACAATAGTCAAAACGTAAACAAATAACGACATTGCGTCCGTACGGTGATCCGGATGCGGTTGGGGAGCGGTCCGTGTATATTTAAGACGATCGCAGCGCAGCTTGTCGTCATAATGAGGAAACCTCTCGTATTTCAACTCGCTGGCTTACTCGTTTACTAGTTGACTAGCTAGCTATTTCTGAATTAAAAGTTTGTTTCGAATTTCTGTTTTTACAAAAATGACGAAAGCTTCAGATCTACATCACGTAGGTCTGGAATGGATTGAATACTACAAGCTAACATGAAATCGCGATCGGTAAAACTAGCATAGAATGGAATCAAAACTAGCATAGCATGGAATGAAAACTAGCTAAGCATGGAACGAACACGCAATAGATTTGTAAACGAGTACAAAAACACAAATGTACATAGAATGGA